ATTTCTCATTTAAAAACCCTTTTAATAATAACCATGTTCAGGGAGTCATTGAAAAAGAATGTGATAGGAAGCGCTGTTGTGGAAGACAGTAAGGAATCTTGTCTTAATAACTTTTCCAGACAGAGCTAGCATATCCATTACAGAGCTGGAAAGCCAGCCAGATGTTACATGCCGCAGCTAGTCAGACTAGATTCTCTTTCACAGCTCTCAAGTTAAAATCCTCTCATTCTTGGGTTCTAGCATCTTCTTTGACAGCTTGCTCTAACATGTGCATGTGCTCCGTTGGAGGCAATGTCTTTCTGGGCTCTAACAAGTCTGTTCTCATTTCAGAAATCTACCGCATTGTTTCGCAGAAGCAGATTGCAGATCGGTCTGCACACGATGAATCTCCTGGCAACAACGTCGTCGACATCAGTGTCCCGCCAACCACCGATGGACAGAAATCCAACAAACTCCAGTGCTGTCAGAACCTGTGACCTCCTGTAGATGACTCTTGTGCCCTTCACTTTGTCTGTGCTTCATTTAGAAACTTGTGTGCACTTCTTATCTCCTGTGATTCAGTGACTCCCTCTTCCCTCCTTTACCCCGTTCCCAAGTCCCCTGTTTCATCTTAGAGCTTTAATTGTAGGGCTAACATTCCCCTGCCTCTGAAATCCCCTTCAATGTGGTGACTTTTGGGCTTGAAATGTAGGCATTGATCTGATAGACATGTTTGTGTTGGAACATCTGCTGCTGGATATTATCCCATGAAACACTCTCCTCAGATGGTTTTGGGTTTTTTTTTCTGGGAGAGAAACCATGGGGACTTGACTATAACAGTTGAAGAAATAACTACATTTAGGTGACAAGGTTTTTTCTTCCCATAGTTGGATATTTTTTTTTCTTGTGTTTCTGTAAACATGGGGGAAAAATTAAAAGAAAATAGCTATCCTACCAAATGCTCTGTTTTCTGTCCTGATAAAGTCTCACAGTGAGGTTTTTAGTGGCTGCACACACATAAGAAAGCTGTTGAAAATAACATTACTTATTATGTAATTACGCCTAATACAGTTAGTCTGGCTGTGTAGTTTACCGTTTCCTGCTTGGGAAATTTTTCTCTATTCTTATTTGGGAACAATGAAGTATGTCTGCATTGCTTTCTCTGCCACCATGAATGCCTGTACTGCTTGTGCAGGCTTTATGAAATGGCTTAATATTTATTCATGGCTTATGTTAATCAGTTAACATTATTGTACAGTAAGTGCCAGCATATTGATTTCAGAAACCTTTTGCAACCTGTACAAGTAGGCTTATTTTGTACTGTAGATCAGTGTCTGAAAGCAGGATCTTCTATAGTTCCAGGATTTTTTTGCATGCTGCTTTTTCTCTAGATCTCTCCTACCCCTGTTTGAGTGAGTGAAGCAATATTTTAATGTCATGTATATACCTGCACTTGTAAGGGTTTTGGTTGTTGTAGAGAAACACAATACTTTATACATTTTGTAAAACTTCTGCAGAACCATAGCATCTTGAACTTTCTCTTCATGATCTTTCACTGTTGACCTTGTGCATAATCTTCTTGACCTCTACTAAAATGCGTAATATTAAGATTTCACATAATAACTACTAACCTGTTGTTTTCCTCTTACTCTGTTTTACTGAATTGCAGACTGTAATTCTCAAATGATTGTACTTCACCTGATGTAACAGATTTGTCATCAGCAGGGCTAACTACTATAATACTTTGTTTTGCTGAATGGGAAGAATGTTATTACAACTTCGTGTAGTCAGTCTCTTGCTAGCTTGTGAAAATCTTCTATGATGGCTTTTCATCACTCACTAGCTCTTACACACTTGCATCCCCTCCGGTATATGCTGAATGTTATGATGAGGCAAATACTGGGTGAAGCTATCTAAAGGAGGAGTTGGAGACCATCTGCTGCTCTCTGAAGGCTAGTGAAGCAATTTGCAGTGAATTTTTGCTCTGTATTCTGAGACTGTACCTCACTTGATGAATCCTACCTGCAAATTAGTGAGTTGATTTTTCTTTTCTGATACAAAGCAAATATGAAACTGAATTGTGCTTGGAGGGGAAATCTGACATTCCAGTCTCAACTGTTCTGTCTGGTTATGTAATAAAATTAAGGGCGGTTAACTCCAATGGCTTTTCTTCTATAAGATTTCCAGACCGACGCCTTTCATTTTGTACTGTATGCACCTAGAGGGCTATACTTCACAGCAAAGGGTGCACGTGGTGCCTAGCACTTCCACTTTTCAACTTTGTTTAGAGGATACATTCAAGGTGAAAGGGGTGCATGCTTGCAGCCTAATCCCATTGAATGAGGATATGAATTCCTCTTTAGGCATCACAGTGCTCTGTCCTAAGGGTGTCCCAGTTCAGGAAGCACTTTCAACACTTGGTCTTTACTTTTAATAGCATCCTGTTGAGAGAAGGTGCAGCCAGTGGGAACTGGAGATGTCTCCTTTTTGTGGTCCTAGACCAGAATGTGATGTGCAGTCAGTATTTAGAAGGCTGGCAGATGAGCACACCATCAGAGAGAATGGAAAATTCTGAGATATTGAAAATAGTTAATTCAAGAACAGGTAGACACTAGTGGAGCTGGGCTCCTTAATTTTGAACAAAACTTTTTATAAAGAAATGAGTTGAATAGCTTGAGGCAGAATCATGCTGTTTAGAAGACTTATTAGTTCAGGGTGATGTATTAATGTGTTTACTCTGCAAATCCTGCTCTTAATATGAAGTTTCTAGAATCAGTCTGGCCTGGTATAAGAAGCTGAGAAGCAGTTTAGTCACTTCCTTGTCTCTTAAGAGATTTTCTTTAATCTTTGACTTTGTGGAAGGCTCTCAACTTTGCCTCAGAGTCCCAACAAAAGGTTCATGTCTAGGGCTTAAGTGCTGTTAAATTATATGGGTATTGAAGAGACCTTGTACAACTTCATTGTGTGTTGACCAAAGCCCCCTCAGAGTAGGTGGATCTTGGACCCGTACTGTTCATGCCAGGGGGGTTGGGTTGCTTTTGAGATCTGTTGTGTGACGTGGGAAGGCCTGCTGCCTTTTGCTGCAGGACTGTTTGGTATACCCAAGATGTGGGAAGCATGTGTGTGCATGCACATACATAGCTTATGTAAGCACTGTAAACCAAGCGGTGGTTTTATCTGCTGTGGTCACTCAGTTTATTAGGCTAGGTATTGACTCTCCCAAATTGCTGTGCTGCTCTCCAGGCAGTTAGAGATGCACAGAGATGCAGCCCTTCTGTGGGTTCGAGATGCTCTTGCCTAGACTAAGCACAGGGCTATTAGTGCCAATAGAAAAAGGACAGTGGAGCAGTTCTGCCTGGTAAAACCATCTTTCTCTGCATAGACAGGTGAAAATGCTTTTGATCTTGAGTACCGTGGTGTGCTGCTGAAAGCATTGTGCACTCCTCAGAAACTATAGCTACAACCCAATCCGCTGTTGGTGATGGCTACTGAAATTGCAGCGGGGAAGACTTGGAGGAATCCTGAGGAAGCTTGAACTGTTGCAGAGCTGTCTGACACTCAAAGAAGCTCTCCAATAGGCCAGACTCTTTAACCATGCTTTCCTGGTGTAAAAATAACATTTAAATGTAACCTCACCTGGACTGCTTCATACTGCAGCTTCGCTGGCTGTGTGTCTCTCAGTATTACTGTCAGGAAAACAGAAAAGGTTCCAGCTCTCTTCCGTCTGCCATAAGAGGTTTGAGGGCAGAATTTGGCTTATGTAAAACTAGGAAAGCTGCCTTGAAAGAAGGAACATGTGCTATACTTGCTTTACTTGGATGTTGAGGATGACTTTCATTTAACTATTGAAAAATAACACTAAAAAGTACTGGGTGGTTACCACCCAGTGTCAGTACTATAAACCTCAGTTGAAGGCTCCTGCTGATATTTAGAACAGGTCCTCCAATGCAGAATTGGACAGGAGTCTTTTCTGCTAACTACCCTGTTAATTATGGGGAGACTAAAGACCAAAATTCACACATAAAAGTGATTTGGTGGTGAGCACACAAACAGGTAATTGGTAAAAGAAATTCATCAGGTAGACCGCCTCGGTCTACCTTCTTTTCTTCCTATTGAGTCAGATGCTTACAGACTAGGCGAGTTTAAGTCTGGGATCTCCACTGAGAGCTTGTCTGTAGCCTGCACAGGACAAAAAGTTTGGTTCGTAGGAAAGTTTTAAAGCTCTATACTTGTATAAATGTAAAAATCCCATTGATGAGTGACTGCTTGCTACTTTGGTAAAAAGATTTTGTGTGTGCTGCGGAGACCATCAACATTTGGTAGAAGGAAAAGGCACTATGATCCTTTCTTCCCCCTGTGGCTGCTTCTCAGCACTTCTAGCAGGTTAGAAGCAGTAGAAAGACTGCTGCGTCCTAGAGATCCCCCCGTTTGGGTGCTGTTCTGTCAGATCACTTGTAATGACCCCACAGTACGTGGAAAGGCTGATAATGGGGTATTCTTGTGCAAACAGGAGAGCTCGCTCTCAGCTGGACATACCAGGATGGTAAGCACTGGTCTGTGCCTTTTGAGTAGGTCACCTACCAAAAGCTACTTGGAAAAATGTACAGTAGGTATTTTTACTTCCTGACGCTTTGATTCCTGCATGCTGTACTGTTCCAGAAGCTGTGGATGTGATCTGTTTGTGGGCTGTTAATGGTTGAGTCTTACCTGTGCTTGGTGATTGTTTCCCTTCCAAGCATGAAGGAAGAACTTGCTTAGAGGTTGTGGACTCTGTAGAAGAAAAAAAGATCCTAATGAAATGACTCGGTCACTTAGGGAGGCCTTTTTCCTTCATAAAAAACCTAGGAAAAACAGTATTAAAGGTAGGGGCCTGAATTTCAAATAAGAAAAGAAAGATCAGGCAATTAGAGGTGAAGACTAATTGTCCTTCAAGTAAAATACAGTGAGTCAGGGCTGACGTTGGATTCTCTTGACTTGCAGACTCATAGAGTCTTAATACAGTTTGAATGGTGGTTAATGGAATGTTTCCATGAAATGAGTATCTCCAGGGCTGCACTGTTTCAATAAATAACAGTAATTCTTATTTTAAACTGGTCGGATAATGCACAGTAGTGTTGTCTATCAGGCTTTGTAGGCTATAAATAGCACTGGACCTTTATGCAACCCGGAAGAGAGGTTCCTTTCATTTACTTTTATTCCTGGTCCCTGTGTTAAGTGCAATTCACTTTGTAAATATACACATCACTTGATTTTTGTGCATGGTTATGATGTATTGTGGATATAAAGATTGCCAAATCATACGTGTGTGTAAAGTTCTGTTCCAAACACAATTGTAGAATAAGGTGGGAACATAATTTTGGACCTGGTACCTTGCCGGCTCCAAAGCCCGAGTGCTGTGGCTGATACTAGCCTGGGTACCTCTGCCACGGCCAAGGGTGTGCACGCTTGGGGCTGCGCCCCTGCAGGGAGCGGTGGTCCAGAGCCAGGAGCTGGTGACCCTCGGTATCCGCTACGCCCGGGAGCAGGGGGGCTGGGGGGGGCTCTTCCCATCGCTTCAGGACACCGCGTTAGTCCTGGGAGGTTCCTGGTGCCCTCTTGCACCGGGCCTGGCAGCGAGAGCGGCCGCTGCCCGCTCTGGTCGCTGCTCCCGGGGAGCCAGCACACGGCCCGTGGAGGTGGGAGCACGCCTCCGTGCCCCGGTGGTCCTCCACGAAGGGACGGAGGAGTCTGGCCTGGCGGGTCCGTGGCCTGCTGCTCCAGAAGCGGCCACTCCGAGTGAGGCGGCTGTGAGGCCGGCCGAGACCTGAGGCGCAGGGCAGGGCGGCCCGGGGCCGCGCCGGATCCTCCCTT